CTCATATTGAACATTGAAATTTCATAATTCATAGTTTTTGGACTCTCACTTATGATTCTCTTCTTGCTATTATAAAAATCGTTAGTCTTACATTTCATTTCCTTTTTGGTAAAAGTAAACCAGTTTAATTACGTATATAATTATTTTGGAATATTTAATTTGAAGTTTTAGAATATATAATTTGATTTTAATTAATAACTTCTTATATTTAACAATTTAAAAATATATTTAGGACTTTTCATTCATATGATTTTTATGGAACTTTAAGAAATATCGATTTGTTAAATTGATCAAAAAATATTCAAGTATTCAATTACATTATAATAGATTTTCTTAATTGGAGCATTTAATTATGTATTCTAAATCAAAATACATAAATTAAGTTATTTTTATTTTTTAGGTACATAAAACCAAGAGCAAAGGAATACTTATATCTTTACCAAGGTGAAAATCTTTGATGGGTGTCCGAAAATGATCAGAAAAACGTAAAATTTGATCAATTTGAAACTTTAGTGTCCGACATGAGACACACAAGTAACCATATGGTCCAATTTGGTCCATTTGAAACCTTAGTGTCCAATATAAGATTCTCATACAATCATATTGTCCAATTTGACCATTATCCCTTGAGCTTATAACACAAGGTTTGTCTAGTGTGGCTAACTCTACAGGTCGGTGACCAGAGTCGTGCCTTATGTAAGGCTGGAGAGGCTTGGGCCTCAGGGCCCCAAAAATTTGTAAAAATTAGGGGCCCAAAATTATATTATATATATTAGTATTGTACATATGTATTTTTTTGTTGTTTTTTATTTTTCCTTTTGGGCAGTTGACTTATATTTCTAGGCTTCTAGGCTCCAAGTTCTATAGTTAATTCTCCGAGTCTATGTTTTTTTATTTGCTTATTTTGTTATTCGTTTATATTTTCAGAAATTTTCTAACTTTATATTGATGTGCTAAATGTTAATGTGATGTATAATTAATTTGTCATGTCTGAATGCCAAATAGACTAATTTGTAAATTTTTAAATACTAGTCGATTCTTGTTTGTTTTGTATTTAGTGAAAATTCTCAATTCACATTAATTAAATTAAATGGTTTGTATTTTATAGTGAAAATTACTATATTGATAAGGATTCCACTAAATTATGTATTTATTTATTTTTTAGTATCATGCCTCTCAAATCTATGTCTCGATTTCAAAAGAGGAAACCAAAATCACGTACTAAATCATTAACTCAAAGTCAGGCTAAAACATTAATAAGTACTACGTACGTTGTACTTGATTTCGAATAAAAGTGCCACTTCGGAGAGTACGTCTTCAATCATGTCCCAAAAAAGGTTGAATGGATTAGCTATGTTTTCAATTGAGAAGGAATTAATTGGTAGCATAGATTATGCCGACTTGATTAATACATTTGCATCTTAAAATGTTCAAGGAGTTGTAGTTAATTAGTTTTTTAATACATCAATGTCATTTTGCTATAATGCAAGACTTTATTTTAAGAATTGCGTTTTTATGATATTTAATCATTTAATTTTAATTATTCTATATGACAAAGAATCACCGTGTTTAGGGCCCATTTATGAAGCTTGACTCAGGCCTGAGTTTATGTAGGATCAACACTACGTCGGTCACTAAACTTATTTGTGATTTTGGTGAGGCTTGGGGATGATTTGGAAGATGCTTGGGTGCGGCTATGGAGGTATTTGGAGAAGAGATTCGAATATTTGGGGAGGATGGGGTGAGGTCCAAACTGATTTTTGAATAAAATTGGGTTAAATCTCGTTTACCCGATCGGGTAAATGAAAAACACGGACAGGTTTTCTGATTTTTTGTGGCAGTGGCTTTTTCCGTTTACCCGGTCGGTTATATGGCTTTACCCGATCGGGTAAACATTGTGTTTTGATTTTTTTGGCTACTCGCATACCCGGTGGGTTTTAGGCTTATATCCGGACGGATTTTTTTGAAGTTGGGACTGTCACTAGTTTTTTTTCAATTTACCTGGTCGGCTTATATTAATATACCTAATCGGGTAAATGCTGATTTTGGATTTTTTAGCTATACCCGGTGAGTTTCTTCTTTGAACTTCTCTTTTTAGCTTAATAGCCGACTGAGTATATGATATACCTGACCGAGTATTTGCCCCAAGCCCTTCAAAATAATACATGTGGATCGCCAGGTGTGAAATAATGGAAAAGGTTACTCCCTGAGGAGCCCTGGCAGATATATTTATATTAGAGAGAGTTTAATGTAAAGTACAATACTAAGCCTATAATAATTCTATTACACCCCCTCAAACTGTGCGGGAGATACAACGCACAAGTTGTCTTTAAAAAAATGAAAACGTTGACTAGATAGACTTTTAGTAAAAATATCTGCCAGCTGTAGATGAGTAGGAACATGTTGAACAATCAGATCTCCACGAGCAACCCGTTCGCGAACAAAATGATAATCAATCTGAATATGTTTACTGCGAGCATGCTGAACTGGATTTGCAGTCAAGTAAGAAGCAGATATATTATCACATAATAAATGTACCGGCTCGGAGATAGGCCATCCAAGTTCGAACAGGACTGAGCGGATATGTAGCGTGTCTTGTACTGTGTAAGCAATGGCACGATATTCCGCTTCTGTGGAGGACTTGGACACAGTGGGCTGCTTCTTAGCCTTCCAGGAAACCAAATTAGGGCCCAAAAATACAGCAAAACCTGTGGTAGACCGAGAACTATCAGGACAACCTGCCCAATCTGCATCGGAGTAAGCAACTATACAGGTTGGCCGATTAGACTGCTGAATCCAAAGTCCATGATCTCGTGTTCCCTGCAAGTATCTGAAAATTCTCTTGACTGCAAAAAGATGAGTGGTACGAGGAGCATGCATGAACTGAGACACTAAGTGTACTGCATAAGTAATATCTGGTCGTGTCAAAGTTAAATATTGTAATGCACCAACCATGCTGCGATACTCAGTAGAATCAGATAATAACTCACCATCAGAAAGAGACAGAGTGGTACGGGAAGCTAACGGGGTGCGAACAGGTTTGACAGTATGAAGGTGAACACGAGCTAGAAGGTCAGTAACATATTTATGTTGAGAGAGAAACAAACCTTTAGCTGAACGAATGGCCTCAACACCCAGAAAATAATGGAGATTACCCAAGTCTTTCATAGCAAAATGTTTAGATATAATTGAAATAAATTGGGTAACAGAGAATTCAGAATTGCCAGTAATAATAATATCATCCACATATAGTAATAAATAAATAATAGTATTATTCTGGCGGTATATGAACAAAGAATTGTCGGATTTGCTACGGGAAAAATTATGTTGTAGAAGAAAGCTACTAAATCTATGAAACCAGACTCGTGGAGCTTGCTTAAGGCCATAAATGGCCTTGCGCAGACGACATATATGATTAGGAAAGTGAGGGTGAATAAAACCACGAGGCTGCCGCATATAAACTTCTTCTGTCAGATTCCCATGTAAGAAGGCATTTTTAACATCAAGTTGTCGTATACCCCACCCAAAAGAAATAGCTAGAGTAAGTACAATACGAACAGTGGTGGGTTTAACGACAGGACTAAAAGTTTCAGAGAAATCAATACCTGCCTGCTGATTAAAACCCTGTGCAACTAATCGAGCTTTATGGCGCTCTAAGGATCCATCAGAATGATATTTAGTTTTATAAATCCACTTACAACCAACAATATTTTTAGAGTTATCAAAGGGCACCAAGTCCCACGTATTATTATTAATGAGTGCATTAAATTCATCAGCCATCGTCTCACGCCATTTTAATTGTTTATTTGCCTCAGTAAAACAGGTAGGATCTGCATTGATAGTAACTGTACTTAAATTAAAAATGGTTTTAGGCTTAAAAATTCCTGACTTAGCACGGGTTTGCATGGGATGGTGATTAACTACCGTAGTGGACGTAGGTGAGGTGGTTTCAGGTGAGATAGTGTCGGTTGATGTTGTCTGTGGCGTGCTAGACGAAGTATGGGAGGAGAGATGGGATGATGGGGGGCTGGTTGTGGACGTGGGATAGGAGGAATGGGGCGACGTTACACACGGAGTGATAGGAATACTTGGTGACCGAGGTGGCGATGATGGGGTTGGTGCTGGTGCGGCCGTAATTGTGGGAACAGGCTGGAGAGGTGGGTCAAGAGTGATATCAGTGAGATGCATAGGAGATGGTGTAGTAGAAATAGACCTGGATGGAGCAGACGAGAGAGTTTTAAAAGGATATGTGTCCTCATGAAACCTAACATGACGGCTAACATAGACTCGACCTGTGAAAGGATCCAAACAACGATAGCCTTTATAACCGGATGCATAGCCAAGGAAAACACACTGAACTGAACGAGGTGATAATTTATTGGCTGAGGTGGCATTAAAGTTTGGATAACAGGCAGAACCAAATACTCGCATAAAGGAGTAATCTGGAACTCGGTTAAACAGTTTTGATACGGAGTAAGACCATTTAAGGTAGGAGAGGGTAATCTATTAATAATATATGCAGCAGTAAATATGGCATCAACCCAATAGTGACTCGGAACCGAAGCTTCAAGAAGCATGGTCCTAGTTAACTCAAGTAAATGACGATGCTTGCGCTCAGCAACCCCATTCTGTTGAGGTGTGTCAGGGCAAGATTTTCTAAAGTAAATGCCATTAGCAGAGAAAAATTGCTGCATATTATTATTAACAAATTCACCTCCCCCGTCACTTTGAAATTTTTTAATTTTCTGATTAAAAAGATTTTCAACCAAAGCTTTAAAATTTTTAAAGTGCATGAAAACTTCATTTTTGTGACACATGGGATATATCCAAGTATAGCGAGAAAAATCATCAATGAAACATACATAATACTTTAATCCCAAATTTGAATACACAGGTGACTGCCACACATCAGAATGAATAATTTCCAAAGGAAAAATAGAATTATGACTAGCATCCATAAAAGGTAAACGTTGTGATTTTCCTAAACGACATGCCACACACTCATGAGTAAAGGGAGTATGACTACATAAAAATTGTTTTCTCTTAAGAAACTGTAAAGTACTATCACCACAGTGACCTAATCTACGGTGCCACACAGGGCCAGAAGCTAAAACGGAAGCAAAAACTAATGGTGATGCAGACGGCAGATGGAGAGGATAAAGTGGTCCACTACTAGTAGTTCGCAGAAGTATTGCCCCCGTTGCTTTGTCCTTAACCAAGAAAGAATTTTTATCAAAAATTACAGTACAATTATTATCAGCACAGAGCCTTTTAATGGAAATTAAATTATATTTTAACTGAGGCACATGATAAACGGATTTTAAAGTGAGAGGACGACCAGATGTAGGTAAAGCAACATCACCAATATTACATATGGGAAGATGGGCACCATTGGCAACACTAACAGAATTATAGTCGGTGTAGGGAGATTTATTAACTAAATTACCTTCAGATGCAGTCATATGAGCAGAAGCTCCTGAATCAGAAAACCATAGAGCAGGAGTAGTGTCACCGGAGTAGTCAACAGAGCAGGAGACGTCGGTTGTGTGAAACGAGAAGGAGAGTTAATGGCAGAATGACCTGTAGAAAAACAAATTTGACAGACAACAGGATGGGGAACAGATCCGAGAATACCTCCGTCTGATGGCAAGCCTGTATGACTACTGTTAGTAACACAGATAGGTAAAGCATTAATATTTAAATGTGACACAGCAGAATTACAAATAACAGTACCCATAGATGTCACACCCCCTGCAGGAGTACTCGGCTGCCCACCCCCTCCGGGGTAATAAACTGGATGTCCCTGGGGGAACCAATATGCCTGCTGATGCTGTCCTCGGCCACGCCCCTGCCTCCGCGGCCTCTGCCGCGCCCACGTCCTCGCCCGCGCTGTGGAGCGCCGTTCTGCCGAGCCTGCCCGACCGGGTAAGTCTGCTGCCCGACCGGGTGAGTGGATCCTGAATTCTGCTGGGTTGGCTGCTGCCCAGACGACTGCCTGGGATATGAAATAGCCGCGCCAAACGCCTGATGAATGGACTGGGACTCCTGGGAGCGGAGATAAAGGACCCGCTGCTCTAACTCAAGAAGATGATTACGGAGAGTCTCAAACGGGAAATTTTGTCCAAATAAGGACACAACAGTGTATAAAGATTCATACTCAGGTCCTAGACCCATAATAGTAGTTTTTAAAATTTCACGCTGAGGCACAGGGCAATTGATTGTGGCAAGATCATCGGCTAATGTTTTAATTTCTCGCAAATAATTATCCATGGACTGATCAGGGTTCTTTTTAATTTGATTAAATAAACGCTTTAATTCCATAGATCTCGCTAAACTAGCAGACATAAACCGAGACTCCAACCGTTCCCAAATTTCATATGAATGTTTTAAATCACGTACATCGATAAGAACATCCCTAGATAGGGTTGCAAATAACCATGAACGGATGGTTTGATCAATTCTTAACCAAGTAGAAAATTCGGGATTGTGAATTTGATGGTTAAGAGCATCTATGGAATACGCAGGGGGTACCTGAATGGAGCCATCAACCATGCCAAGGAGAGCTTGGGACACCAAAAACGATTCGAACTGTGTACGCCAGGTAGTGTAGTCTTCCACCGCTAATAATTTGGTAGTTACAATATTTGTGACATTAGTTGCCACATGTGAGATACTCTGGGCGAGATCTGTGAGAAGTGAGCCAGTCGGGATGGCTGCTGGTGTGCGAGAGGGAGGGATGACAGAGGAGACACCAGGTGAGCCAACAAAAGCGGGACCGACAAACGATGATCCAGCCGAGAAGGGTGGCGTGTAGAGGCCTGGGGCCGCTGGCATGGCAGATGGCTGCCACGGAATTCCCGGATGAAGAGTCTGAAACAGTGAGTAGGCACCGGGAATGTCAGCGATGAAGGAAGAAGAGGCTGGCGAGGGAGTCACCTGCGGCGGCGCGGTCAGAGGAGTGGCGGCGCTGGTGATGACTACGGCTGCGTCGGTGGCGGTTGATGTGACCGGCGCCATGGTCGAAGAAGTTGGAGCCACTAAGGAGACTTCCATGGATCCGGCGGAGATGCGTCCTGCGGCGGCGGAGATGCGTCTTGCGGCGGCGGTTCGCTGAGGGGCTGCGGAAGCCATGTAGCGAAAAAAAAAGGGTTAGGGAAGAGAGAGAGGAAAAATTTAGGTCTCTGATACCATGTGAAATAATGGAAAAGGTTACTCCCTGAAGAGCCCTGACAGATATATTTATATTAGAGAGAGTTTAATGTAAAGTACAATACTAATCCTATAATAATTCTATTACCAGGTACCCTACTAGTAATTAATAATTATACACATATTTACACAAATACGATTTGCTTATGAGTTATGACGTCCTTTCAAAAAAAAATTGCTTATGACATTTTACGGGCCGAATCAATCAATAAATAAATTAGTTGAGCCAATCTTAGAAACCCAGTCCAATCACAAACCCTAGTCCAGGTACAACAGTTCCCATAAAACATCTTGAATATACATTTTGCTGGAGCTGAGGTTTCGATCATCCGAAGCTAGAGGGTTTCTTATCCGCGGCAAAAATGGTACTGCAGAATTTCTTTGGAGTCTCTCTTACCCATTGGTCTAAACCAATACATAGTTCTGTGTGCGCGTATTTGAGTTTATGTGGTGTTATATGTGTATTGATAGGGAAAAGGAACTGGAAGTTTTGGTAAACGGAGGAACAAGACACACACACTTTGTGTGAGATGCGGCCGCCGCAGCTTCCACCTCCAGAAGAGCCGGTGTTCTTCTTGTGCCTATCCAGCTGCACGCATCAGAAAATGTGCGCTCCATCTATCTAATTATTCGTGCATCCCTTATTGGAATTATTATGTCTGAGTTGTTCATCTATGCTTATCATTTTTCTGTGATCATATCTGTATATTTCTATTCTCCTTGGATCTTTTTCCGGGAAGTTATTTGCAATGAATATCTATTTGTGTATAAATGTACTACATTACATTGATTTTAAATCTTTTTTCTGTGGATGCCATTGTGTTGTATTTTTACTAGGGAACTCTTGTTTAGAAAATTCTAATTAAATAATAAAGTTCATCTTGAGTCTCACTGTCTCAGTGTCTTGCGTATAATGGGAATTTTTTCTTGGGTAATGGTCTTGATGCATTTACGCCATATCATGAATAATGGGGGTATGTTTCATTAGTTTTTTCTTTCTAAATGTAGACTATTGGGCTTCCTTGAGGTCCTTGACTAGTAAGGTACCCAGGTTTGCAACTCCTTGCCAGATGAGGAAAACATAATGCTCCACATATATGATGTAGATATGCACCTAAGGCGTGCCTATTCTGCATCCTAAAAGTTAATGGGATGTGTTGGGTTAGCAGAATAATAAGTGACCACAGAATGGTGGGATTTAATGATCCCCAGCTTTCGTAAGAAAGAATTTATGGGGTCTCTTCCTCTTCGGATAGACCTGCCCAAGGTAGTCAAAGTTGTGAGGCGCACTAAAGGCGATGGGGGTAATTCCAGCGCCTGAGGTGCAAGGCGTAAAAAAGCGCTCACCTAACTCATGTCAGGCGTATTGCTTAGAAAATATCACACACTATTCTCCAATGGTCAAGCATGATGTATATAACACCATATTGAACCAACTACATTAAAAAGTCATGGTTTGAATCAACCGTTTGATCAAATAAAATCTTGTTTCACCAAAATAAAGTCACGATTAACCAAAATAAAGTCTTGATTAACCGAAATAAAGTATATGGGGGGTGTTCGGAACTGATTCTGCTTCTGCTTCTTTTTTAAAAGCAGAAGCAGAATCAGAATCAGTTTTCAAAAGCTGGTCACCCCCAACTTCTAAAAAACTGATTCTAGGAGTAAATTAGAGCACCAGAATCACTTCTGCACTTTCACCCAAACACTCCAACTTCTGCTTCTGCTCCCTGAAGGAGCAGAAGCAGTTTTAAGAATCAGATCCAAACACCCCATATACAGCAACCTATGATACAAGAAATGGACTGGTAGTATGTATACATGATAAAAAATGGTAGTTTGGTAGTATATATACATGGTCAAAAAAGGGTAGTTTGGAAGTATATTCTAGATAGTATGCATACTGGTAGTATGTACTTCACCAAGAAGTAGCTGGTAGGTTACATATACATGTGTGAAAAAATATACTGGTAGTTTACATATATGTTTAAGTTGTTTAGACTGTAGAATTGACTAACTGAGACATATCACATATAAACAAGAATTCTACAGAGTACAAGAAGAAGTATCTGTTAGTTTACATATACACGGTGAAAAAATATACTGGTAGTTTACATATAAATGTTTAAGTTGTTTAGACTGTAGAACAAGAGTTCTATAGAGACATCGAGTACAAAAAGAAGTAGCTGGTACTTTACACTTTAGATATACATGTTGAAAAAATACTGGTAGTATGTAAGAAGTAGCTGCTGAAAAATGAAAAAGATAAAAAATGGAACAAATGGAAGATGAAGATGAAGAAAGTTTACTTTCATCGTGATAATCTATTTTATTTCATCCCTAAACCTTTTCTTTCTTTTCTAGTGAGTGTGATCCCTCTGCCTTATATAACACATTATTATGTTATTAATATTAATATTAATATTAATTAATATTAATTCGATGGATAAATAGAGTTTCGGTTTAAATATATACTCTCTCCGTATTGAAATGTTTGCTACACTTTCCTTTTTGTGATGTATTTTTTGCTATACTTTTCTTTTTTGGCAAGTTTCCTCTTAAAAAAATACTCAATTACCCTTACTTTTTATCTTTTCTTTTATACTTTTCATAATCTCTATTACTTTTTCTACACTATTCATTGCCCTACGATCCCTTGCACATTGTGCCAAACCTTATTGTTGCAAACATTTAAATACGGAGGGAGTATTTAAATCTTATACATGCATGGTAGCCTTATATCTTGGATTTTACGATCCGAGTCACGATCACCGAGTTATGATCTGTTAGACCCCTTCCGATCCGATCTAGGATCTTGAGTTTAACAACCTTGCCCTCTACCAAAAACAGTGATAAATTAAAAATACCACAAGGCATTAAACAAGCATAAGAAGTACAAACAAATCTATTTTTTATATATAATTTGACTTGCAAACCTGATATATGGTATTTTCATATAATTTGATTTGCAAACCTGATCATGGGTTCAAGTCATTCAACTTTTTCTGCTCATTATTAAGCTACCACTTTACACAAGGAAACCACCAAAACATCAACTCAAACTACAATGCACAGTCATGTACTCATAAAAACGTGAACTAGGCATACTAGATTACTAGTCATACAGGCTTACACCAAGATAAAACATCACTAAATCGGTCAAGGTATGTAAACATGCAGTCATGCAAACAAACTATCAGTCTATCAGAAACTATTATATATCAAGGCAAGTAACATATAAAAAAATCAGGCAAGGTGTTAAAAGGTCTGGAGAGCAGAAGAGTGGAAAGTTTGAAACCATTGAAATGTCTCCATCTTTGTGATGGAGCAGAAAAGCAGCGAGTAGATAGAGGCATGGACATAAAAAGAGATAAAGAAAAGGATTGGGAAGATGCAGATGACAAGAATAAAAAACTGGAGTGAAACAATTACTGACCTGCATTTTCGCGTAGAGAAGAGAAGCTGAAGCTGAGAGTTTTATTTGTGAGAAAAGAAGTGTTGGAGTTCTTATGCTAAGCATACAAGTAATAACTAATAAGACCCATAAATCATATAAATTGTAAAACCGTATGATACCCAAGAGGTGGAGGAGTTGCCCGCCTCCTGATGTGTGAAAAGTGGCTGGATGCTAAGGGTTGAGAACACCTGTTTTAATGTGCTGTGTCTAGGTTATCCATTGTGATTTTTTATCACCTTGCGCCTAGATGTTCCCTAGGTGGACTTTTTAAAACTATTGGATGGAACAATATATTATAGATCTTACAGTCCTCCTTATCATCCTTGAGGTATATCATGGATCTTACAATCCTCCTAATCCACCCCTAGGTGCCCTTTTTTAAACTAATGGTATATTTATGACCTTAAGGATTTGCAACATAAATTGAACTAAAGAAATTTAGGCACTGGCTGCAGGCCTGCAGCCAGTGCAACTATAAGTTCCATTTGTTGCTTTGTTACTACCAGATATTCACCGCAGCAAATGCTTACCTGAAGTTTCCCATTTGTAAAGTTTCTCATTTCTCACAGTTCTCTGTGTGTATATGTGCATATGCATGCATCCATGTATTACTCCATATTTGTTTCCTTTTTAGTGCCTGTAATATGTCTGTAACTCTTCTATACTTCCCAAACAAGGGTAGTAACCTACTCACACGTTGTGTTCTCCTTTAATAAACTCGTTTTTAGCTCAATAAATTATACTCCCTCTGTGCCCCTAAGATTGTCTCATTTTACCTTTTCGGTGTGTCCCACTAAGATTGTCCCATACTAAATTTGTTAAAGTTTTTGTGGCTATAAATTATTCTTACTTTATTCTACTTTATCAATTCATTATCAACCACATGAATCTCTTTTTATTGGTTTGTGTGCCACTCCCTCATGTCCCATTGTTAGTGGGACGTAGGGAGTATTTGACTTCATCTGCCTCAAAACAAAGTGGCCCCGGTAATAGTGATATCGATATTACTAGACTCTTTTTCACGACGGTGGTAGTATTTTTGTGATTTCTTTTCAATCGTGTTTATGATATTATTTCTTCTTAATTTGATAAACTATTGTTTTTCTGCTCTATATTATAC